ATACTCATGTAATGGTACAAGATCCCAATGATGAATGTAACTGTATTTTATACCTAAAATGTACCAATAAACTTAATGGGAAAAAAAAAGAAATAAGAGACATGAACATATAAAACACTTGAAAAAGACATTCAGTCCATGTAAATGCTCAGTAAATGTTAGATATTATCATTTTTATTTAAATTACTTATCTACAAAATCAGTCTTTTCTTATTATCTGCAACCAAAACAAAATAAGGACTTACACTAAATTTTTAGATTAATATGCAACAAGAAGCTCTATTTTTAAGTTTTTAAGTTTTCCCAATAGCTGAAATGTTCCTGATTAATTTTACAAATAAGTGTTACAAATTTGAATTAATATGTAAATATTTTGTAATTAAATATTACTCTGATTTATAAATTAGGCTCTGTGTAAAATTTTGGGGGCAAAATACTCTGCAGCTAAAAGAGGACATGCAGCATGATAAAATGTGTGTTTTGTACTGTGTTCTCTCACTCTGAGGAAGTTGACTTTTCTAAATATGTTTGTTTCTTTTCATTTCTCTCATTTAAAGCTTACTTTGGAATAAAATGTTGAAATAAAATTACAAGAAAATATTAATTCCTCGTCTTGTAGTGGACTATGTTTCTGTGGACTATGTTTCTACTTATCACCAAAGATTTAATCATTACTGTGTTTCTTTCATGATTGATTCTTTATTTGACAATAGGGCTGATTAAAATGTATGAAGACACTGTATTTAATTTTTGCATTTTAAATAAATGATCTGTGTTTTGTTTTTTTGTTTTTCTTGTAGTCATTCCCAACACAGCACTGCAACCCGTCAACCATCAGTGACTCTCCAGCGGGCCATCTCTCTGGAAGGGTAAGATAACAATAAGGCCTTCTCTTAAACTAAACCATACAACCTTCAAGCATTAAAAACAAATGTCCTTCCTCTTTTTTCTCCCCCTCCTCTTCTTCCTCTTCCCCTTCTTCTTTGTCTTTTCCCATTCTTTTTCTCTTTCTCTTCTTTCTTCTCTTTCCCTTTCTCCTTCTGTTCTTCCCTCACTCCCCATTCAACAAACACCCATATAGTTTATGTTACGTGCCAAGCACTATGGTAATAACTAGATTTAACAAGTCAAATAAGATCTCACCCTTCCCTTCAGAGGGCTCATTGTCTAATGTGAATAATAGAAATAAAAATACATACTTGTATACAATGTATGCATCACACTGTATAAGAGGTATATATAAGGGATTGAGGAAGGATCCAGGAGGCGCATTTGATAGAAAACAGGCATCAAGGGGTAGGAGAAGCAGTCAGAGTGGCTCCGGAGAAGGCATAACTCTTAACATTGTTTGAGCTACAGCCCCAGCCCCAGATACAACTCTTAAGCCAAGAAGTGAAACAGCTGTGTATATTTGCCCAACAGCACAAGTTCATGGATATTCTTTTAAGGGAAGAGGAAAACAAACCTAACATTTATTGAGTAGTTTATGTAGTTTATGAGGTGCCAGGCTTCCTCTCTTTCTAGATAGATGATAGATAGATAGATAGATAGATGATAGATAGATAGATATAGATGATATACAACTATTCTTCTGTCTTATCTGATTTTATTTCCAAAATGTTCTATGTGATAGTTATCTTTTTTCTAAAACTTGATTCTCAGAAACATTAAATAGTTTTCCTATGACACTTCAATAAAAAGTAGCACTGCCTTTATTTGAAAGCTAGTCTGACTACTATACAGATATGCTCTCTGTAATATGATATGAAAAGAGTGTATTGAGCAGGAGAACACTAGTTACACAATTCATAAAGCACATCCAGTCCAAGTTACACATAGTAAAGAATTTTCTGTGGTTAAAAAATGAGCTAGAATTGACTCTAACCTTAAAAATCATTTAATCATTTAAAAGAACAAATATTCTACTGTTTTGCATGGTCTGGAAGTCTGTGTATAGCCTTTGTGGTTGGGGCATTTACAGTAAAGGTGAGGGTGTGAACACAGATCTCAGGGTGGTTACCAGTCCACATTTTGGTCATAAACACAAAGAATGCCTTAGCAATGCTAATTAATGGCTTTTCTCTTGTCATCCCTACAACCAGCACCACTGCTTCACTGGGGCAACTAGCTCACTGGGATCCTAAAACTCAGTATCAGAAATGAATTGAAGGTACAGAGTTTGGAAAGGAAGACTTTATTGGCAGCAGGAAAAGGAGACAATAGATAGCTACTCTGATAAGTATCAGGGGAAGGGGCTCCAGAAGATGGAAGACCCATGGGCCCTTTGTCTCTGGCCGCTCTTATAGTGGTCAGAGACCCTTCCCACCACCCAGAACTTGCCATAACTCGATTGGCTTCCAGGCAAACTTGCCTACATCATTTCTTCCGGTGGTCTATGTGTACTTCTATCTGTTCACTTGACCTTGACAGGGCCTTATCTTTGTCCATCAGGGTGGGCAACTGATTGGCAAGGGGGGTGCCTTGTTCATGGTTAGCTTAGAGTTAGTAGGGGTGCATGTGTGTCTGTACTGTAGGACTATAGTGACTCTAGAGTAGATAATATAGTGACCCTGCTTGAATACATATGTAGATGTATATATGTATGTGCATTAGTGTGTAGGTGTGAGTCCATACTGAATAAGAACTTTCCCCAGAATTAGTAAGCACTCCCCCCGCCCCCATTCCCTTGCTTCCCCTGCACTCTGTTGGAGGTGGGGCTTTTGTGCACTTGGCTTTCTCCGTATTCTGCCTGTCAGCTAGCTCTTTCTCTGACATGTTCTAGTGCCACCTGTGCTATCTTGGTGCTTCTCTATATCTGATTTTTCTTGTTCTCTGCCCCTGTCCTTGAACTGCATCCAGCAGGAGTTTCTCTAGTAAAATTTCTCTAGTAAAGTTTTAACTCCTTCTAGTTCGGGTTGGCTAGAAAACTAATGAACCCCTTACCGTCCTCTCTCCCAGCCTTATAAACCCCCGTCCTGTATTTTCTAAGGCTGTTTCCAAACCTTTCCTTATTATTAGCAAATTCTTATTAGCAATTGGATAATAAGGTTTTTTGTGGTCTTTTCCACTTGAGCTAAATGGGTTCTTTTGTAGACATAATCATTAATTCTAATTCTCTGATAAGATGAAGTAGCCAAAGGACAGAATAATACAGAATTCACCAACTTTTTGTAATAGTAGCAGATATACACTAAACTTTTTATGAGTACCAGTTAAATGTACACTTACTCCAAGTGGTCTGGAATAAAACAAGATTTATTTTTATAATCTAGATGTGTTTTTGTAAAACATTTCTGAGTATAAGATAAAACATTTGAAGTTGAAGTAATCTCTCACTGCTGCAATATTTAGGAAAGAAAATCTCAGTAACTGTCTACAAAGCCTAGAGCATTAAAGCTCTGTGGGCCCAGCTGACTTTCTGAGAGAAATAATGTGGCACAAAATTATTGTCACTGAACACTGAACACATAGTGGGAAAATCATTTTTTTATTTTACATAGACCAATGAGTCCTTAGCAGCTTTCCCATTAAGGTGTTAAACTGTTCAGTGTAGGCAATCAGTTGAGAATGAAATTTCTATTATTTCAAAACTCTTCTATCTAATGCTTTTGTGGGAAGCAACCACATAGGATGTTTTTTACGTGAACGTAGTTTAAAAGGCCATATGTTAACACAATTTTCACCTAAGTTTGTATTTTCTTGACACAAAATAAATGGAGATATCACCAATTTCCAGTTAATTTGATCCATGAAGATAACAAACCTGTTTAACTGAGCCATCTACCACAGAACTGCTACTGTTCTTAACTTGATATCTGAATCATCTGTAACCACACCAAATAAAGTAAGGCAGAATAACATTCCCATTAAGTCTTTCTGTGCTTTGGATTCAACTTGACAGACACCACCCACACCTAAATCTCTTCTTCCTCCTGAAGCTCTGTTAAAAGGAACCTAATGGAATTTTAAAAGAGACAATCCCATAGTGGGAAAGGAAATGGAAGAGTATCAAAGATGAACAGGTCACATTTCTGGATAACTAAAAGCTGATGGAAGGATATTGATAGAAGAAGCAGAAAAAAGTAGTCTCAGCTTTAGGCTACTTATACACTGTACAACTATTAGGGTACATTCACATTCTGGACAACAGTCATAATTGTCTGTGAAGATTCATCCCAAGATTCCTCAGTCGGAAAGGGTAGATAGTACCAAGCCCTATAATTAGTGCTTTATCATCTCAACTAAAGACATATTAAGCACAGTGCCCATAACTTTCACAGTTAAAACTTATCAGTTGCTTATTTCTGGAGTTACTACTTAATATTTTCAGACTGTGGTTGACTATGGGTAGCTGGAACAGCAGAAAATGAAACTACAGGAAAGGGGAGACTCCTGTATTCTGTGTGAATGACGTCTCCTGGAGTCATGTTTCCAGGGATGTCACTCACAGGAAGCTCTTCACAGTGCAGTCACACTGTGTGGAGGGGCTCTCCACTCAGAAGACGGCAGATCTGCTGAGCAGAACTCTGGAGACACAGAGACATCAGGGTGGTGACACAGGATTGAGAGCAGACTCAGAATAGGGATAAAGATAGTTCCTTCCAACGTTAGTATTTTGGAGACAAAAGTTTGACTTCTGATAATATTTCAAGATATGGAGACTAAACTGGCTCTAGCTAGCTAGCTTTTGAGGAAAGTTGGCTTGAGTCATCTCTACCCACACATTCTGAGAGTAGTTGCCATCGATCCTCAGCTTCCTCCAATATTCTTCTGCACTCTGATCCCAAAAGCAGTGCTAGGTAATGTCTGAGAGAAATCTGATATGCTGATTAATGCACTGAATTGCAAATGTACCCTTTCACATTTAAAAGGGAAGGATTATTGCAAGTTTTTTTAGTTGGTAAGGTTACTGGTCAAAAATCAGAGCCATTATTTCCCACAGACATTTAAGTGACTGCACCAAAATAAGAAGGCAAGTTGGGTTAAATGGAGTGGATTTTTGTGTATCTTTAATAAATACTATATATAATTGCCGTTCTCCTTTCGACTTTGCTCTCCTTTTACTTGAAGATTTGATTTATAGACAATGTAATAAAATTAAGGAGATGAGCAACTAGCTAGTATTTGATTTTTAGAAATCCTCAGAAGAAATCAAACTTTTTTCCCCTAAAAACTATTTTTGTTTCTGATTTATAATTCAACAAAGACAGGCGGGCCTCTCTGGTGAAAAGGCTGTGGGTGAGAGTCCGAGTCTTATTCTCACAGCCAGCTCATCTGCCAAAGGATCCTAGCTGACTGGGAAGACTCCGGAAGTTTGCAGGGCTTCTTCCATCCCAGGGGGGCGAGCCTGCAGAGTTTAAACCCCAGTGGATTCAGTTCCATGATACATAACCTCAGACCATCCCTTTCCCCAGTTCATCGTCGTCCATTTGCTTTTCATTTCTCCTGCTGTCCAGCAGTTTCCACCTCCTCTGCATTATTCTATTGGCCTAATGCTTCTTTTTTCCACTTTCTTAATCAAGAAAACCTGCTAGTAATCTTTCTTGTTTACATGTACAGACCTGAAAATATAAAAGGTGTCATCCCAGCCAACTTTAAGGAGTGCCAGAAATTTATCAGTTGAAAAAACTCAGAGGCTACAGAGAGGTTAGAAAATATTTAAGAGCTATGGATATGTGGATTCTAATTCTCTAACAAGGCCTGGGTTTCTAGTGCCATCTGATATTGCTATAATGGTGGTATAAAAATAAATGAATAAGCAAGTTCTTCTTGTGTGTTTAGTTAATAACAAAACAAATAAGTTTTATAACAAGCTGGCTAATATCAAGGCCTACAACATTGAAATGCAAGGTGTAGCTCAATATGATTT